GTTAGCTGTTTCACCCAAGGTTATCTGAGGATTATGTCCAAATGCTTTATAAATACCATATTTTCTTTTATTTCTCTCATATAAATAATAATTTTGGTTTTATTTTTCTCTTATCCTGATCCTTGAATCATCTCTGAGTTTCGTTGTTTGGTTTTGGTTTTCTGTTGTTTTTGCATCTCATTATTAAGTATGTAGACTTTCACTATCTTTTTGGTGGCTGGGAGATTCCCTCTTCCTTAGAGGACTCACTAAGTTCAGAGTCCCTATGAGTAAGTGTCTTCAGAGAATAATCCTCTGTTCTACATATAAAGGCTTTCAGCCAATCCTCCTGCTTCATCCTTCCCAGGATCTACCTTCGCAGCTGATGGTTGTCTACAGTTCTGGACCCTCTCTGAAACTGCTCCACATAAATTTGCACCTTCATTTTCCCACACTGGACTTATATTCCAAGTCTCCATTCTGCTTGGTTGGTTACCCTCCACTCATCCATCAGTTTCCATCCAGATGCCCTCCAACAGCCCCTTGTGCTTGTAGGTAGGGCTTTTGGAAGGTGGCTGGATTATGGGGCACCTACAGCTGAGTTGTTTTAGGAGGTGGGGCCTGGTCAGAAGAGGCTGGCTACTAGGGAGTGACCTGAAAGGGTAGATCTCTCTCCCCAGCTCATCTCTTCTCTCTCGGCTTCCTAGCCGCCATGTCACATCAGGAAGCATGGAAGAAAGACAGGCAGGGGCAGGATACAAATATATCATTCATGCTAATGCCCACAGTGACCTACTTTGTCTAACAAGGTCTTACCTCCTGAAGTTTCTATAGCCTTCCATTAGCACAGTCAACTGGAAACCAAGCCTGGAACACATGAACCACTGGGGAACCCTAAAAACCCCAACCACAACAGGGCTGTTGTTAGTACCCACCTGGATAATCTAAAATAATCCATCCACCTCAAGATGCTTAAATTAATCACATCTCATATGGTCAAGGAAGTAATACATTCAAAGGTCTTGGGAATTAGGACATGGACATTTTTTGGGAAAGGAGGTAGCACTATAATTTACCACAGTAACTTTCTGATAATACTCATTATCTTTACCATAGTAACTTTCTGATAATACTCATGATCTTTAGTTCTTGTCAAGATTTGATCAATATATATTGATACCAATGAACAAATGAGTGAATGAGTGAAGACCTTGTAATGATTCAACACATATTTATTATTGGTTCCATAATGGACTTGGTCACAGTCTGTCATATTAAAATTACACCTAGTTTATTGATTGTCATGCAATTAACACAAGAGAAGAACGCAAACTTAGTGTTTAACAATTTGACCACAAATTAAGGCAGCCAAGATGGCAAAAATAAAAAAGACCAACTCAAGGGTGGACGAGGGAAGCCTGGGTCCATCTTCACCTAACACATTACCAATCTGAGATGAAGAACCCTGAATCCCCAGGGAGTGGGGAGAGGAACTGGATGGCTTTGCTATTATATGTCTTTGTGAGCCCTGCACACACACACCTCGAAGGCAGGACCAACATTTGTGTGTGTCATGGGGCCCTTGCAGAGGCACGGCCCAGATCACTGGCTTTTCCCTGAAGCCATGTCCATAGTATCTCTGCAGAATATACTGTGCAAGGTTTTCTAGAATCTTCATGATGCTATCAGTAGAGAACTCAGGATTCGCAAGTTGGGAACATAAACACTTCTGGCACTTCTGAGCAAAAAGCCGCATAAGCACTTGACCCTGGCATGTCCAGTGGTCCCAGTACACGTGGCACAGGATCTTCACCTGGGCAGAGTCCCAACTTTGATGACATGAGATACACCAGAACCTGCAGGCAGGTGAAAAAAAACCCACTGTCAGCTCAGCTGATCATTAACCTGAGGGAGAATGACCCTGAATTCATCTCAAATACTTTTCACTTTGGGGCACTTCCTATAATTTGGATTGCTGCAGTCACTGACAGAGTTTCTGCCCATACATCATTCAAGTCTGCCTCTTAGCTAGTTAAAATATCCCTGGATGCCTCAGAGGAAAAAAGAATTTTTGTTATCTACAGCAAAATTTGCTTCACATTTTGGTGAGAAAATTTTTATAAAGTACCTATTATGAGGCAATCATTCTAAGTGGTGCCTGACACTATTATTCCATTTCAGCTTTAAATCATTCTTATGAATAGGCATTATTGAGCCCAATAATCAGATAAGAACACTGAGTCCTAAAAAGTATAGACAACCTGTTCTGGATATACAGGATAGGTGGTTAGAGGTATGGTCTTCCAACCCTAGGTGATCTCACCCAACCTTGGTGTACCATCTTGTACCTTGAGAAACAGGCTGGGCCCTGGAACCTTAATTCTTGACTTGAAGATGTAACTGCATGGTTTGCATCAGGGGACCTCAGGCGCAGGACTTCACCTCAATTTTTAAGTCAGTTAAAAAGAATTCAAGGTGTTCTTTTTCAGCATCAAATGGGACTTTGTACAAGGGATGATGAAAAAATATAGTGAATGTTTAAATTTAAAAGGCTTATTACAGTAAAAGAGACATGGTAAAGAATTATGAGGTAAGTATGTTCAAAGTAAAGGAGTATTTTCAGCATTTTGAGGAGGAATGATGATAATCTATCTTTTACTTCTAATAAATTTTTAAAATTTAAACCTTCACTATATTTTTCCATCATCCCATGTACGTAAAAACAATAAACACCAAGACATTTCCAAAGCTCATTGACATTCTAAAATTATGTTGGCAGATTGGTTTTCTCATCTCAAAAATGACTATCAAATCAATTTACCTGGACAAAGAGAAATGCCTTCCTGATTGGGAGAGTGCCAAAAAGTTAAGAGACATTGTAAGCGCCACCAAGAGCTCTGGCTGGTGTGAAAGGGTGCCAGCCCAGATCATGGGATTACATACAAGAAGAACAAAGCTGCTGCTCCATAAGATCAGCTCAAGAAAATGCTCCAAACTATGCTTCAGAGCTACAGGAAGGCTTTATTTAAAATAATAGACTCTAGTGCAGAGAAGCTGAGCCAGTCCCAGCACCTGGAAGGAAGCTCCCCCACCACCATGCCAAGCTCCTAGGGCAGAGAAGCTGAGCTGGTCCCAGCACCCAGAAGGAAGCTACCCCGCCACCATCCCAAACTCCTAGGGCAGAGAAGGTGAGCTGCGCAGGTGCCAGAAGCACCTCACCCCCAGTGGAAATGAGAAGACACATAAACAAGTCTCAAAAACAGACTTCTGGATCACCTACAGCAACCCCAAAGGGAAACAAGGTGGAACAATTTGATACTCAACCATCTGGACTCTCTGAACTGGCAAAAAAAGAGGATCTGGGAAAAATGAAATCAGAAATAATTACTCAGATAACAGCAAAGATTGTGCTCATTGTGGAAGACTTGATTAATAAATCTAGAGAGGGCACAAATAAAAAAGTAGAAGATCTGAGGAGCATGATGGAATCCCAATATAGGAAACAAACAGAATCCATAAAGCAGATGCAAACAGATTTCCAGGAGATTAAAAACCCCATTGAAAGTCTGCACAGCAGAATGAACCAATGTGAGGATAGAATTTCAGATATACAAGAAAAGATTGCAATTAGTGACCAGGAAAAGAAAAATTGGTTTAAAATTCTAACAGAACATGAGAAATCAATCCAGCAGCTGCCAGATGATGAAAAGAAGAATAACATAAGACTGATTGGAGTCAATGAAGAAAGAGGAGA